ATTATAGGCAAAAATCTAAAAGGCTTTGAAAATTGTTCTTTTCGAGAGTAAATTATTAACCGCAAATCAAAAACTGTAAAAAATATGGTTGATCGGTTCAAACAGTGTCATAGGCCGCATCAAGAGCTACAATGTTTGAATTTGCGGTGTTCGTCTAACGCATACGCTGTTCGAAATATTTGCAGAAAATCAAAATGAAAATCACCATTGCTCGCCCTCAATTTAGACGCCATAACGTCACTTACGACGTACTGCGAGGCTTCAGAAAACGGGTATTTTCTCGCGAACCGTTGATTCTATTGGAAACATTTATATACCAGGAGACGTGAGAGATCCAGGGATATCACCTCTATTTTGTACATTGTTTGCATTATATACACGGTGTGTCGTTTATGGGCAAAAATTGCTCGTTGAGCCATTTCTCTTTTACTTGTTTAATGTTAATTTCAATTATCTTAGTTAAGCCTCTATACTCTTCTTGGTTTTTGTTTTTACGACTTTCATCCATCAGTTGTAATGTTTGGTCTGTCATCCATGACTTTTTGTTCTTTAAAATTTCCTTGGGCATAAATTCTTCTCCTCCCTTAGAGTTTAATGACTCCTTTTTCAGTTTACTTTTTTAATACTAACGCTACGGCTACAGCTTCAATTAAGAAATTAATTGCTGCACGGGCAAGATCGGCGCTCAATTCTGGGTCGCTCGCGACATTTTATTTCCCTTTTCGGTCGCGAAACAATGGGTCGCTAATTAAACGGGTCGAAAAATTCACCCCGGTGTATAATAATAAAAAAAGGCGGAGCGAAAACGTAAAACAAACGGAATGAAATTCAATAAATCAAGCTGGTCCCCATTATATCCCCCGGAACGAATTGGGGGGCTAATGAAGTATTATTAATGACGTTGCCGGGAAAAAAAACCTTACTCGGGGTTCCTTATATAAAATCTTATACCTTTGTGAGTGGTTTCTTCGCCGCAGTCTCCCTCGTCCTCCCCACCGAATATTTGGAATATTATAAAGGAGGATTTTCTTTTTTTAGAGAGGAAAATTGAGCATTTATTTCATGGCCGCTTCGAACGTGTGAACTGTGGTGATTAAGAACGAATCCTTTATGCCTGTTCGTTGTTGAGGATAATCTGGATAAAATATTTCAAAGTTTTCTATTTATTATTTAGTACACTAGTTTTCAATTATAAATATCAAAAAAAATTGAAGAAACTAATTATTGACATTGGTGTGTCCTTTGTTGTGCTGGAAATGAAAAACATAAAATATAAAGCAAGTAGTAAAACTTTAATAGGATAAGAAGAACCATTATCGGTTGCCTCATTGTTGCGGTTAGATCAATCAGTTCGAAACGTTGGGTCGTAAATTTCAATTCCAGTTTAATTTACTATAGCTTACAGTCTACAGGCAAAAATGGTATTGAAGAGTACGAAAGAAGGGAAACGACGGCCCAAGATAAACAAGAAATTTAAATGGTTTTTCAGTAATTATTAATTAATATTTACTACCAGGCAAATTTGCGCATGCACAAACGAATGTATATTCATAGCTATTCTTAATTACTGTACAGTCATATTAACAATGTTACTCATAAATTATACCATAAAAATAAATAAATGCTGCAGTAAAAAATCGGCAATTTGTTATTCAATAAACAAAGTCTAATTTCTTTAAAAAAGTCATATGTTTAAAATTGCTCACTATATTTCTATATGATTGAACATAATTGTCAAGTTCTCATAGCTCTATCTAAGAACCTGAAAAGGAATGGCAAGACCGCCCCTGTTTCTGTTCACTATAAAAGTCTCTCACAGATTATTTCTGTTAGTGGCTTTCTGAAAATATGAAGGGAAGAGCGAAAATGTTTGCAGAAAATAAAAAATAATAATAATTCTTCTGAGCTGCAAAATATAGGTTTATTTTTATTATGTATTAATAACATAATAAAATAAATTTTGCTATCGAACTTTTTATTATACATAGCTCAGATTTAGTCGAAATTTTAAATTCGTCATCGGGTCAAACTCTATTGTGCAATAATATGCCAACATACTGAATTTTTGTTGGATCAGTTTTCAGTTATATGAATTCTTAATTATAATTAAAATCACTTACGGAAAATGATCGACACTGAGAAGATTTATTTAAAAATTTAAGAGTGTCCTTAGTAGCTTCAAATTATTTGTCCCACATTTCTTATTTTATTATTATAAAGTATGTTAGGTAAATGCTTTTGGCCATTACAAGAAGCGTAAAGCAATGGTTTCAGTAAGAAAACAACGTTTCCTGGTTCGGCGTGCCAGAGAGCGGTAGGGGGCACTTGAGGCCTGGGGCCGAAGATTATGCAGTGGATCTACGGTACCATGGTGGTGCCTATGCTCACGCATGGGGCAGTGGCATGGTGGCCGTGGACCAAAAGAGCGGGAGCAAGGCTAGTTCTTGACAAACTGCAGAGATTGGCTTGACTCTGCATAACGGGCGCCATGAGAACGGCGCCCACGAGGGCCCTAGAGTCTCTGGTGGGGTTGCCCTCTCTGGCGGATCGGGTGCAGATGGAGGCGGCCAGGACAGCTGTGAGGCTGGCGAGCTGCGGGCTCTGGAGGGAGGGAACCTTCAATCGGGGTCCGTACGACATTTTAGAGGGCTGTCGCGGGGATCGCGGGGTCATGGGCATACCGAGTGACGTCATGATCCCCGAGATGACCTTCTTTGACAAATTGACCTTTCTTTTTCCATCAAGGGAAGATTGGAGAGAAGGCAGAGTCGGCTCCTGGGATGGACTTGTCTGGTACACGGACGGGTCCAGAATGGGAGATCTGGCCGGAGCTGGAGCGTACTGCGAGACCACGGGATCAAGCTTGTCGGTTCCTCTGGGTCAGTACTGCACTATGTTTCAGGCAGAAATTTTCGCTTTATTGATGGCGGCCAGAGAGGTGCTTCGGCTCAACCACGGAAGCAGGAGAGTCTTCTTCTGCTCGAATAGTAGGGCTGCACTCATGGCGCTGAAGTCAGTGAGTACGCGCTCCTTGTTGATAAATGAGTGCAAAGGGGTACTGAGGAGGGTGGCTGAGGAGAGAAAGGTCACGTTGGTCTGGGTCCCGGGTCACACCGGTATCCGGGGCAATGAGGCAGCGGACGCCTTAGCAAGAGAGGGCTCCTGGCATAGGCATATAGGGCCAGAGCCCCGCTTGGGGATCGCCCCGTGTGTGAGCAGGGAGCTCTCGAAGCCTGGGCCAGAGACCGGGCCGCGGGGGGCTGGAGAATTGCTCCGGGAATGAGGCAGGCGAAGCTTATGATGGATGGGCCCGCCTTTCCTCGGACCAGGGAGTTGCTTAGACTGACCAGAAGGGAGTGTAGAGCACTAACAGGGGCCTACACAGGACATTGCAAGCTTAGGAGGCATCTTTGCTTGCTAGGCATTGGAGACGACCCGGAGTGTAGGTGGTGCACGGAAGGGGAGGAGACCCCGTATCATCTGCTCACCGAGTGCCCTGCCTTGCCATGGGCAAGATTGGGAGTATTCGGAACGGCCCTGATTTTTGCCTATAATTTAAAAACCCTGTATAAAATCGAAAAAATGCCTGAAATAAATGTTATGCACTGGTCTTCTGCGTTTGCCGGTTAAAGAATTTTGCCAATCGGATGAACGATTATGGAGGAAAACATATTTTTCTAGAAGCTAAAATTACCAAAAATTTGATTGCGCCCAATTTCAACCGTTTAAATGTGGACACGGACTTTTACTTCTCTGCTAAATTTGACGTTGATATCTGCAAATTTAGGACACTTAACACATTTCTCATTTAGCACGGAATATCGGGAACACCCTGTACAATAGGTGAAAACCTTAAATACAAAAGCGTTTTTGCTGTCTATGCGGGCTATATATAATATAAAAGAAAGTGAGATCTGAATCATAGCCTTTCAGTTATAACCAATTTTCAATAATAATTTTTCAGTTTTTTTGAATATTGTATGTATGTATATTTTTGAAAAATTTTCAGGAATAAAAATTTATAGAGCCGTATCTTCTGCTTTTTCTGCTTCGTGGAGGGTTAAAAAGGAGGCAGATTTTAATTTTGTAGCTCCAACGGTTCAAAAGTTATTCAGGAAAAACCAAAAGACGAGAACGGAGAACGGAGAACGGATAAACAGACAAAAAAAATATTTTTTTTTTTGGACGGTGATCCCATAGGACCCTACCGTTACCGAGATATAAAATTTTTATACGAGCGCAGATACTTTCGAAAAATTCCATTTTAATCGATTTTCGAAAGTAACAAGACAAACAAGTTTAAAGGATTTTTTCGTTTTAATATATACAAACTTTATTATGTTCCAAATAAACTAAAGTCAAACTCAAAACAACATAAATTAATGTATAAAAAATATTTAATAGGCACCTCCTTTAAGATAACATGACTGTTTTTTTTCTGTTGTATATAAAAAAAGCTATTCCATTGTTGGTGTGGCCCTTTTTTCCTACCTATCTAAAAATTTGCTCATGATTCACAATTCAATTACAACAAGGGGTCGATGATCACTAATTTCGTTTTGTAATAATTTTTGCACCATTTTTATATTCAGATATGCATATATTTCAAGTTATTTATTTATTTATTTTCCCAGTTTTCTTAAGACAAAATGTAGTTACGTAGTTTTCTTGCTAAGGCGAGGTTATCTAAGTGTTACTGTAGGGTTTATACATCACACTAAACCATAGTCATAATCGCTTTTTTCGTGTTTGTCAGTGGCGTTTGTTTCAACGTGTCATAAAAAGTTTCCTTTTAGGGTCGAATGCAGACAAAATACGACAATATCTCACAACTGATGCCGCCGAGTTGAGAGAGGCTTATTTCAATTGGTTGCAGACGCCGTTAACAGGTTTGCCTCTAAATCGAAAACGTTTGTTTTATTGCGATCGCGAATATTTCGATTGCAAGTTAGAAGGAGGAAGGCCTGTGTGTGTATTTTATTGACATTGTTACTGCTTACCCAGAAACCATTTCAGGATCGGAGGCGGATTGCCATAATGGGAAACGCACTTTATGATCGCCACTTCGCCGTGAAGTGTGGTGAGATTGTGGCCCGGCAGTATCTGAGTTCCGTTGAATTCTATCCGTGGTCTCTGAGGGGGGACTGAAACGAAAATAACGTTTTATATACTAACAGACCACACATAAATAATTTTATTGCTAGTGATTATGAGTTGTTTCTCTTTAGCATATGTTGTCTAAAGCTACATGCTTTTTTTTTCTCGAAATATTCGAATACTTGAATAAATGTTTCTCTATACCTTAAACAAAGTGCTGGAAAAGGCTCGCAACAAGTGCGGTAAACGGAATTTGACTCATGAGTTTATTTCACACGAGCGGAGCGAGTGTTTAATAAACGAGCGACTTAAAAAGTTTCCTGAACGTGTTGCATACTATACTTTTTCTACGACCGTTAGGTTTTGCTTGCATTTTGGCAAAATTGACAGAACTGACAAACGTCAATATTCAAAGGGTGGGAAATATCTCCGAAAACATCTTGTAGCTCCCAAACCCATGCGGTAAAATCCCGGAAATGTCCGAAGTGGCTCGGATTCGTGGGAAACGAAACTGACGCAGTAAAGTGACGCTTCCCGCACGCTAGATCGTTGTGTAATTAGTTGTTTTACAGACGGGAGTAGAAAAAAATAGTTACGACACGGAAAACAAAGCTTATTGGTTACCACTAGTCAAGTTGCAAGGCGCAGATTTTGATATAAGTTAGGTTATTTAAATAGCACTCATCGACATGTACTAGCAAACAAGTTTTTAGAGTTTTGGACGTTACAGTTTTGTTATGAATATCTGAAGTCTAATTATATTTAGTTAAAAACCTGAAACGTATCCCTAAAAGTCATGGTCCGATTGAACGCATTATGGCATTAAAATCGATTGTATTGGGAATCAATTAGTTTGGATTGTAATAGGAAATAACAACGGACATCAGATGTGGCGCCTGTCCGAGGACTTCCTATTAGACCGACTGACCCTTGACCGGGACTAATCCTTATGCATATCCATTAATACCCCAATTTGGCCCAAACAGTGAATTTGCATGCTAATATCCAGACGTAATTCTGTTACGATGTCACCGCCTATTGAGGAATTCATCGTCAAACCGTGTTAACGACGTTTTGTTGGTATTATTATGCATGTACAATTTAAGTTGTTTTATTTTGACGATCAACATATCACATTCATTAGTTTCAAATTAAATAAAAAAATGTAAAAATCTCATCGTCCTCTGCCGAAAGTTTATCGGCTAAAATGGTGTTGACTTTATTCCAGTATTTAAGTGAAATTTATGTTAGTGAGCTGGTAAGGTAACGCTGGTTAGCTGAACGGCAGCAAGAAAGGTGACAAAGATCCCGCCAATAAGTGCACAGACCGTGGTTCCTAATGTCAATTGTCAATCGGCAAGGATTGCAATGGCTATTAGAAGACTTGGTTCATCCAAAGACATGTTTTTATTGATCTGAATGACATAACCTCACACAATAATTCTTATTATTTTTTATGGTCGTTAGTGTGGGGTGACCGTCTTAATCAGACACCTATTAGAGATATGGAGGGGCCTATGCCGATAATGTAGGAACTTATCAAGCAACAACATTTTTTTTTCGAGAAAGCACATTCAACATGCGCATACGCGAAGTTTAAAATTTTATTCAATGGACTTCCGGCATTTAACAATCAATATGGCCGTTGACAGATCGTGAATAATTTGTGGATGTGGATGTTTTTTCGACAGTATTTTCTCAAAGTATGTCGTTAGGCAAAAAGTCGTTGAGTGTGTAGATATCGCAGTTTATAAAGAGAATGGCGCATAGTGCAGGTTAGTGCGTGAAATGTTGACGCATGCGCGAAGATTATCCTACGAAAATATATATGGTCAGAATTGACAAACCGCTAAATGCGGTGCAAATGATTTAGCAAAGATGTCAAGCTCAAGTTATAAGACAGTCTTTCACTTCCTCGAGTCCTCTTATTACGCAATCGTTTATAGTTGGCGCATTACCTTTATCGAATGACGTTACTTTTGATTATTTTTTGTTTAATTTATATCTTAATTTGTGAGAGACACTACAAATTTTTGAAAAAAAATCATTTTCGTGTCTTATAGCGGTCAATGCCGGTTTTGGTTATATGTCTTTCAGAATATATCCTTCAAAATTAACCTTTATAAACTTCCGCAAGATGCCGCGAAGATATTATGAGATATGAAGATATATCTTCCCGTTTTTAAATGGAAAACATCCAGCTAGTTGATAATGTAATTGAACGAGCTTCAAATGCAACGCAACTTAGCCATACAACAATCATAAATATCAATGTATGCGTTTAGGTTAGGGATCATTACTAAAATATATATAATCTAAGAAATAAGTTATTTGAAACGTCGTTTCAGAAAGGTAATACGCCAGCTGTAGCAGCAAGCTGGAACTAATAAGAATAAGGATAGCCTTCAAGTGCTTCAAACCTGATATAAGTTACTGGTATGGACTGCGCAAGTTTGATCACGTAACTGAAGAATTCTTGCTTTTTTTAGATATTTTATTATGAGAATGAATTTTGTTGTAAATGTTTTAAATAACGCTATCATTGATTTGTTTATTGTATTAATGAGAACAAAATAAATGTGTCGAAACTTTTATGCGGCATTGTACCTGTTAAACAGCAAACGTTAACAGACTTGTAGTACGCAAAAGTAAACATGCACGAAAATAATGCGATCGTGCACCGCGCAAAATGCTAATCGATTTGTTTACGCGGTGATTGTTAAACGGCCGTAAATCTACCCCACCCCGCCTTCCCCGGCTAGGCCATTTGTTGACAGGAGAGTAGCGAAGAATTAATTCGATTAGTCGACTGGAAATTAGTTATTGCGGCCCACGTCATACGCTCCGGAACTCAAATATTACAGCGCTATCGCCCCCCGTGTATGATAAACGTATACTATCAATTTTCATAATCGGATTTCGTGCATTTATTTTATTTATTTTTTTTTTTTTTTGGTAAATCGTTCTGGCGGAAGCCTTCCAACCCGGTACACCGCGAACCCGAAAATATAAAACGTACTTGCTTAAGGAAAAGTGAAATCTGCCGCTTTGGCAACATCGCGCAGCCTTTGGAATATAGACATTGACCGTAGAAGACGGTCCAGATCTATTGTTGGCTTTTGCAGACGATGTAGTTTTGATTGGGAAAAGCAGAAAGCAAATTAGGCAATGAGGAAATGTAAACAAAATTAAATACCATACCATAGAATTGGTCAGAATATTAAACTACCATTTAGAAATACTCAGAGCAACAACAACAATATATGACAGGAATAGATCACAAGAAATAAATACCCAAATTGACGCAAAAACAGATTATAAGGTCGTACAGGACCTTATAAGATCAAGAAAACGCAGTAGGAACAGAGAGGATAAAAATGAACAAAGGTCTGGAAGACCTTTTAGAAATCACTTATATCGTAAGCGTAAGTATATTCTAATGGGCAAGCCGAGTTAGAAAACTTTAAGCATTGATCACTGAATGGAGGTTGCGAGAAACACCAATAGATGGAGGCGTGTTAACAGGTCAGCTAAAACCCCCACAGGGTTGTCGATGTAAATAAATAACTGGGTAAAACTTGGTGGATGGTTTATCCATCATCTTTGATATTTATTTAAATTACAACATCATTTGGCAGTAATAAGATGCCAGCAATAGCACAAGGTCAAATGAAATCAATCGATCAACTCCCAAATGTGCTAATTTCTCTGTCAGTTCTCACCAGTCCCATAAATCGCATAAAACAATTGAACGGACATGCGCTTTGAATGTTGTCGAAGAAATGTTTGTGGTATGAGGATGGAACTTAATATCTCTCTCGGTTCTCTAGATACTTTTAATTGACCATCGAGTTTGAAATGCCCTTTATTATCGTCGACATTAATCGTGAAACTATGTTTGCAGTTCTTGACACTACCTAATTCTGTCCCACACGCTTCAAAAATCATCCATTTTTTTAAGAGTCGTTAACATAATCTAGGGTATTTTATGGTCGAAGCACCGTTGCTTTTATGGAAGTCGTTTAAGTTAAAACCAAATATCACGGAAAATACTGTATCCTCGGCCGCCTTAAAATAAAGACCAGGCGCTGAGGTGCGGTCGAGGGGGCATTTAACATGTAAATTTCCTGTCATTCCCGAAATCCAATCCTAATCAGATTCGAGATAGGCGCGTAAGTGGCGTTTTTAAGTAGCCAATTAGGTCAACAAGCCAGAGGGGCGGCGATTACCAGCCGCTGGCATGCGATCCGACGGAAGTTGTTCTAAAATCGGCAACAACTTGGAATTAATTAAGCCTTGCGGCGGTTTAACGAGGGAAATTGCGATTTTTTTTTCGAAAGTATAGTAAAAGCGACAAGTACAAATTGATTCTTACCTGTTCAGGTTCACGTGCTGGCGTTACTTTGGTAGTGATTTACGATTGCAGTTTTCTTCTCGACCCGCTGGAATAGATTGAGGCGTATACCTTTGCGTGAGGGAGATTCCCATGAAATAATATTAATGTAAAGCTGAATTCTTTAAGGGGATGAGTTTTTTACACAACAATATCATGAATTTAAAATTAAGCTTCAACAACTGGACCGCCAAATCCGTTTTCAGTTTTCATCAGCGAATACTACACCTAAACTCTGCTGTTGAATATGCGAGATGAGAGAACAACGGATCCTTCAATTGTTCAGGGGGGGCCCAGGACAGTACAAATTTTTTAAAATTTCTCTATAACTTTTCTATTCAAAAAAATTTTTTTTTGCTACCCTAGGTTTTCCCTCCTAAAATTTAAAAAAACTGTAAATTTTTTGAATAAAAATTCTATTTTAAAAAAAGACAAATGTCCGACCTATAGAATTTGCCTAATGACAATTAAATAGAAATCATATAGAAACCTTAAAATTTTTGTTTAAAATTTAAATTGCCCCCATGGAAAATTCTATATCGTCAAACCTTTTTAATAATTTTTTTTTTCAATTTTTTTTGAATTTTTGTAAGGGAGGGGCGTCAAGAACACTAAAATTTCCAAAAATCCAAAATTTTCGAACTTTCAAATATT